GGCCGGCTAGGCGGGGCGGCGCTCGCGCTGTTGTGCGGCGCCATGGGCAAAAAGCACAAGAAGCACAAGGCCGAGTGGCGCTCATCGTACGAGGGTGAGCGCGCGGGATGCTTTGTGACGCGGCCTGGCGCGCATTCGCGGGGTCGGGGCGGGGCGGCGGGGTCCCTGCGCTCGGACGTGAGCCCCTCCCCGTGGCCTCCGTCCTCCCGCGCCGGGGGGCTCGGGTGCTGCCGCCGGACGCTGAGGGGTGAACCAAAGGGCGCGGAGCTCTGGAGATGGGGCCAGCGCCGGGGTCCCGGGCCGCAGCGCGCCCCCACTGTGATGTCAGGTCCTCCCTGGGATCTTGTATTGTGGCCGGGACTGGAGGTCCTGGGAGGGAACGGGGAGGAACCCAGCGTCACCGTTTCGTGATGGTTTTGCAAGTCCCCGGACGTCACTCTTAGTAAGGCAGCCCCTTCGTCCCCCGACCCCTACCAGCGAGCTGAGCCCCTCTCCGCGGGGCGTCGCGCTGAGCCGCCGCTAAGCACATGCCTGAACCCTTGTCCGTGTCTGGCACAGATTATGCAGACAAGCCCCTGGAGAAGCCCCTGAAGCTGGTCCTGAAGGTCGGAGGAAGCGAGGTGACTGAGCTCTCCGGGTCTGGCCACGACTCCAGTTACTACGATGACAGGTCGGACCACGAGCGGGAGAGGCACAGAGAAAAGAAAAAAAAGAAGAAAAAAAAGTCAGAGAAGGAGAAGCACCTCGATGATGAGGAAAGGAGGAAGCGAAAGGTGGAGGCAGGCAGCTGCAGCGTCTGGGGAGGGTGGGGGCGGCAGCCGCATGGGGGGGCCTGTGGGAGACCCTGCAGCCTTGGGGTGGGAGGGTGGAGCCACAGGGGGCCCACAGGGTACACCTGCCCTGGGATGCTGCCACAGGGGGTCTGGACATGGCTCTTCCATGGGCAGGTATTGAGGGCAGGTATAGGACAGGTCTGAAGAGGTCTGTTCTTAGAGCCTGTTGACATGCCTGTGTCGCCCGTCTGGGGTCTCTGTGCCGTGCTCCTCACCTGGCTTATGCTGCCTACCTCACCTGGCCCATGCCTCCCTGCTCC